GGGAATTGATTGGAGGTAAGTCTCGTGACCTAGAAACATCATTTTATGGAAGAATCAACCTTTAATTCTTGGAAATTTGGGTAAAAATTGGAAGAACTAGGGCTTGGTTTTTGAAATGAAAATTTGGGATTTGAGGGGGCATTTGAACTCCGATTTTTGATAAATTTGATATGTATGGACTCGTGGCGAGACGAGGAATCCGGTGCTATGAATTTTGTAATTTTTCGAGAAGTGGGCCTGGGGCTCGGGTTTTGCTAGTTTCGAGATTTTTTCTATTTTTCGATTGTTTTCGATTGGGTATTGTTCCCTTAGAATATTGTGATGTATTCGCTCTAATTTTGGATAGATTCGACGCGTGTGGAGGCCGATTTGAGGAGCAAAGGCGTCGCGAGCTAGAGATTTCACCGGTTCGAGGTGAGTAATACTTGTAAATGATATCCTGAGGGTTTGAAACCCTGGATTTGCACATCATAGTGCTGTATTGAGGTGACTTGCACGCCGGGTATGAGCGTGGAGTAGAGCACCGTTGGGGATTGTGACTTGGTCCATCCCGGTTGTTGATTTTTATCGTGTATTTGACTGAAACTACCTGTTATCATCATAATTTGGGCTGATTGCCATGTTTTGGGCTTCGTGCCGATCATTTGAATCCTTCAGGGATTGATATCACTGTTTTTGCATTACTTTGCATGCTATTTGATCTCGGTCCAGGGTTTTAATACTGTTTTGCAAATTCAGCCATTTTTCATGATTTGAACACTTAAAATGATATTTTACTAACGTTTTGAGCTGAGAACTGCTATTTTATTATTGCTCAAGGGGCTTATGTGCATTTCTGGACTGAGCATGGATCGGGTTGCGCGCAGCAGCAGTGTTATAGTGATTTCTGGATATATGGATGGCTTGGGCTGCACGCCGCAGCGGTGTTATATTGATATTGCGCTTGGGCTGTAGGAGCCCCTCCGGAGTCTGAACCCCCACAGTGAGCGCGGGTACCCAAATAGATCGGGCTGCACGCCGCAGCGGTCATATGCATTGCATTGCATTCATGCATGGGTTCCTGTTTGTAATACGTGTCATGACATTCAGCACTCTCATTTCATTGGCATCCATGCTACTTCTTGCACTGTTTACCAGACGCCCTGGTGTTAATTGTTAGTGGAGTGCTGTGCCCGAGGGGCTGACTTATGTGCTGACTTGCACTATCTGATTACGCATTCATTTGCTTAACTGTTGGAAAGGATATTTTCAAAAGAGGTTTTAACTGAGCCCAGATATTTTCTAAAGGATTTTCACGGTTTTACTGTTTTCTCAAAGATTTGCACTGTCCTATATAGCATGATGGAGTGCTTTTACGTGATTTCTTACCGCTCAGTTATTATTTACTTTTATTGCTCACTTAGTTGGAGTACTCACTTTACTCCCTGCACCTCGCGTGCAGTTGCAGGTATTGTTCACCCGGTAGCGGGTTATTGGCTGATTGAAGGTATTACTATTGTAGCTGAGCAAGGTGACCGCCAGCGTTCGCGGCACCGGACGTTGTTTTTTTTGAATTCCAGAATTTATTTTTGTATATTATTGGCCCTGTAGTTGTGTTCAGGTTTCTTTAGATGCTCGTGACTTGTGACACCCAGGTCGGGTTGTGTTGGGTTGTAAATACTGGTTAGTATTGTCGTTAAGTTGTATTTATCCATTCATTTATGTTTAATAATTGTTAAAGAGACGATTTGGGTTAGTTGTCGGCCTTGTCTTCACGAGAGGCGCCATCGCGACCGGGTTTGGAAATTGGGTCGTGACATGACTGCCAGCATTCGCCGCGCCGCGTGTTCTTCCTTTGTTTTATCAGTCCTATTTGTATATTTCAGGCTTGTAGTGGTAGTTATACTTTAATAGTTGCTCGTTACTTGTGACACCCCGGTCGGGCTGTGTTGGGTTGTGATTTCGTTAATTAATATTGTTAAGTCACATTTTTACTGTTCATTTATGCTCAACTATTTTTGAAAGAGACGAGTTGAGTTAGTTGGTTGGCCTTGTCTTCATGAGAGGCGCCATCACGACCAGTGCGGGGTTTGGGTCGTGACATAAAATCAACACGAGTTCTCTCATTTTATTATTGGCATATATTTTTTTGATATGCCTGAAAGACTCTTATAAAGCACCCGACCTAAAATAAACGTACTAATCTATCTATTTATCTATATTATTATAAAAGCACGAATAATTTATGTTTAATGTTGAACGACTAAAATATCCCCGAAATATTAATCGACTTTTATGCCCTTAAATATTTTTATAATTTAAGGATCTAATTGTAAATTATCTGATGATGGAATTTTTTTCCGACTAAAATATCCCCGAAATATTAATCGACTTTTATGCCCTTAAATATTTTTATAATTTAAGGATCTAATTGTAAATTATCTGATGATGGAATTTTTTTCCGATTTAAACTATACAAATCCTATAAAATTGATCCTACTTGGATTAGGAAGGTACGTTTGTTGTTCCTAATTACAACAAATATGTAATTGTGTGAAAATAGGAGATTTACGTAGTGTATGAGTTCTATTTGAAAAAGGTAATAGTTAAATATCTTTATACCCTTAAAATATTAATCAATAATCTATCTAATAAGTAGGATTTTAAATCAGCTAAAAATTTGTTAACTTTGAATTGGTAAATCATACCGCCGCAAACATTGCTAAGTTTGTAAAGGACTTTAATCTAAAGATCAAAGACCATTATGAAAAGTTGAATATCACCTTATGTATTTATTTGATTCCGAAAGCCTCGTTTGAAGCATCAATATATTGTATCAGTAATACTTTTCATGGCACTCCAGCTATCTTCGAGTGCCCTAAATTCACCGTCAGCTTAACGCAGGTTCAATTTTTCTTTTTATTTTTATTGTAAACCTTTTAATTTCATGCTATATTTGTGAAAGATATAATTTTTAACTGTGTGTCTTCTGTAATTCAAAATAAAATAATCAAAGTCATGCGTTTCTTCTTTCAATTTGCGTCTTCTAGGGAAGTTTCATACCATTCGGTTCCTAATCATGTACTAATAAGAATCGAACTTGAGTTAAAAAAGCACATATATAAAAGAAAATTTCAACGTAAGAAAGAGGATCTATAAGAATAATTTTTGAAATTTACAGAGGTTGAAACATTGATGACTTAAGCGATTATTAATTGGTACTTATATAAAGAACTAAAGACTAATTGTAAGCTAACTAGAATTTAAATAGAACATAACAAATTCACATTGAATAACACATAATACAAAAAAATTACTCGATTAGGTATTAACGGTTCAACCTCTGTATTATAAGTAGTAGTCATCTAAAGCTATTTTTTGTATACTGGTTCAAAGTATGGTAAGCGCTATTTATTTTATGTTTGGTGTTTTATGAATATTTGAGCACAACATGGATTTGTACAGGATTGATTAGTTATAGCTTTCTATGCTGATTAGTTCCGAATTATTTTCTTATGTTATGTTAGTATTAAATTCTTCTTATGTTTTGAAAAATTTGTTACAAAGGTGGGAGATGGAATTAATGACTCGCCAGCACTTTTAGTTATAGATGTTGAAATGACGGGGAGGCCTACATTATAGGCAAAATAAAAAAATTGGTTGATCGGCCAAAACTAATTGCATTCGCTAGCCAAAAGTGTATATATATATAATTATATTTTATTAACTATTATTTGGGAGCGATAAAAATATATATTTCTCTATAGTTTATTATAACCATGACCTTATTTTTTTAAAGTTAGATCTTACGTCTTGAATAGCTTAGACATCATGTTTGAGGACATAAAGCACCACTGGTAAACTTGTTTGTTTTATTTAATGTTAATATTTTAAGCAGTGTTGTTGTTAAGTTAATATAGTTAGAATTACCTAACAATAACGTGCAACGCAAGTTTATAGAGACTAGTACTATATTAAAGTACGAAGACCTTTAGTGAAATATCGTTCGTCTTTTTTACCCTTCGTAAGTATATAATGTGTCGGATAAAACTGTCATTATAGACGCAAAGAATTTGAAAAATCAAAATTTCAGCAATTAATATCACATTAGGTTTTACTATTATATTTTATCAAAGGTCGGTTTTTCATAGTGTTAATGTCATTTTAGGTTTATGATTCTTTTACCAAAGTTGCTCAGCAAGTAATGTTAGTTTATGTTTATTTTTATTTTTATTTTTTTGTGGTTATAATTGCCGTAGGATACAATTTAAAGCTAATTTTTGGTTTTTCAAAGTTTTCAAATCAGAATCCAATAAGGAGAAGCAATTAATGTCACTAGGTTTAATATTCTTCTACTATAATTGCCGTAAGATACAAAGTCAATTTTTGGTGAAGTAATTAATGTCAGTTATAGGTTTAAAATTCTTTTAACAAACTTAGTCAATTTTATTTTCTAGAATTGTAAAATGAAAACCATTTAAAATAAGGATGAACACTTCTATAAAACGAAGCCAGCTTTTCATTTTTTTGTCAACGTTTGAAAAGTAAATTTGTTTGTGCTTGTCAGTTTTGATTTTTGTCTACAATATTTCATGTACGATTACCAGTTTAAAATTACTTATTTATAAATTTTGCATAGGTTTTTGGATCATTGCATTTTATATCATGCAATGTCAACATTGCAATATCTGTATTTTTATTGTGTATAGTAAAATTTTTTGCTGAAGGTAACTACAGGAGTAGTCAAGTTCCTATTTTTCATTTAACCTGCTTTTTATGTTTATTCATTTGTTTCTAATGCACTTTGAATCAAAATGAGCAGTGCTGGTGTATTTTTTATTCTGAAATGTATTTGTGAGATTTTTGGTTATAAAGATATTTTTTGTTATATATACACGTCAAGTATCAGTTTATTGTTCCAAGGAATTTTTACATTTCTATACCATATAGGAAACCTTATTACCCTCAATATTTATAGTTTGATATAATTACATTTAGTATACCAAATTACCAATTCTATATCATAGTATTTTAAGGAGAAAGAACAATTTTTTTTTTTTTTTTTTTGTGGATTTGGGCGGTGAAAGAAAAGCTCTGATCTTGAGGGAGGACGATGGTGATGCAGTCGCAGCACGATCATATTCTTCAATGAGATTGACGAGATCTTCATCACAGGTGATTGACACAAGTGCATCCAAATCTTCTGTTGGCAATTGACATCTTAAAGTACTCATTGCTCCACACATCTCCCTTAGCTTCACCATCAGCTCTGTAAATAACACATCCCACATAAGTACCATTTTCTTAATAAACCTACTACTCCAATCCATAAATATTGTCAAGTAGAGTATTTGTGGACCTATGCCGAAATATTAGTATATATAACAAAAATGAGTGCGCAATGACATTTTGCATCTATTGGGTAGCTTATTTAAACATTCCTAAATTGGTCTCAACGAGAAGCAAAGCACACTTGAATAAAAGAGGAAGAAATGGGTAATTTACCAGCAAAAGAAATGGAACGATGAACGGAAAGGACACGGGTATCGCCGCCATAATAACGGAGTTTGCCATCAGAATGACAGGGAAGAATCTTGCCACCATAGCTGGAGAGGAATTTTATATTGGCGGACTTATTAAAGGGTAGTTTATGAGAGTTGATGGGCGTTCCAACCATGATATAATTGAGATATTAGAACTGATAATGAAGATGGGTCCGTATGAATTTTCTACAAAATATCTACAACTGGGTACATTGAAGTTTTAGTCGTTTTGGATTTTGAAAACAGAAAACAATGCATCTACAATCAGAATACAAATAATCTACAATTCATATACAAAATATCTACAAACTGGGTATATTGAATTTAAATATTCCAATTCCCATTCGATTGTAGTTTTTTAGGGATTTTCGACATAGTTGCGTTTTTTCCCGAAGATTTGTAGAAGTTTTAGTTATTTTTGATTTGTGAAAACAGAAATCAAAGCATCTACAATCAGAATACAAATAATCTACAATTTATCTACAAAATATCTACAAACTGGGTGTCACGACCCCAATCCCGGTCGTGATGGCGCCCAACACTAATGCTAGGCAAGCCCGACCAATTAAATACTCTCAACCCAAATTCGCAATCCGTAAACAAATAATACGATTAAAATAGCAAATATTAAGGTTCCAATCCGAATCTAAATAAAACAGTACGAAAAATAATAACGAATATCCAAACATTCCCCAATAGATCTGGAGTCACGAGTCTAGAGCCTCTAGATGTAACACACTAATATATCCATAGTAATAAAGAAGTCTAGGATATGGAAAGATAAATGAAATAAAGGGGAGGAGTCGGGTCCTGCGGACGTCAGGCAGCTACCTCGACAACTCCTGAAGATAAAATCCAAGAAGACAGCAAACAGCTCCACTAAGTCTCCGGAGCACCTGAATCTGCACACATGGTGCAGGGAGTAAAGTGATTACTTCCAACTCAGTGAGTAATAAACATATATAATGGCTGAAAGTAAGAAATTCTAAAATATTACAATATAAAGCTATAATCAGCGATTCAGCACATTAAACGGTAGAACAACAACAATACCAGGACAAGTAAGAATAATAGGTATAAATGCATGAATGCAATGCAATGCACATGACCGCTGCGGCGCACAGCCCGATTCATTTGGGTACCCGCGCTCATTGTGGGGGTTCAGACTCCGGAGGGGCTCCTACAGCCCAAGCGCAATATCATCGTAGCATTCGCTGCGGCGTGCAGCCCGATCCACACTCAGTCCAGATATATATATGCATGCAAGCCACTCGGGCACAGTCAAATTGTTCATTTTTAGTTTCAATTATTAGGAATTATAGAGCTAAGTGTTTAAACCTTTATTTATTTACTAAACATTCCGAGGCAGTGTCTAACTCAGGAGTGATATCATGAAATATGTTAAGCATCATGGAAGCAATGATAAGGATCCCTGAAGGATGCAAATGATAGGCACAAAGCCCCAAACATATTCATAAAATCCAAGTAGGATGATTACCAAACAATTTCTAGTCAAGAACACAATACGAACATCAATCGGAACGGACTAGGTCATAATCCCCAGTCACAATCGACCCCGCACTCGTCATAGAGTACGTGTCTCGCCTCAATATAGCGTCACAATGTGATATACCGGGGTTTCAAACCCTCAGGTCATCATCTACATCTATTACTCACCTCAAGCCGGCCACAAGTCTAGCTCGCTATGCCTTTGCCTTTCAAATCAACCTCTTCGCACGCCGAATCTGATTAAAACTACAACGAATACATTACAATAGGCTAAAGAAACATAACCCAATCGAAAAGACTCGAAAAACACTAAGATTCACTAAGTTGGCAAAACCCGAGCCCCGGGCTCACTTCTCGAAAAATTATGAAATTTACATCACTGGATTCCTCGTCTCGCCACGAGTCTACACATACCAATTTTACCAAAATCGGAGTTCAAATGCCCTTTCAAAATCCGTTTTTACATCACAACTTTTTAAGCCCTAGCTTGACCCGTTTTTGATGAATTTTCCACAATTTACATGTAATTTCTACCATAAACTCGAATATTTAGGCCAAGAGACTTACTTCCAATTTATTCTCAGTCAAAACCCTCAAAAATTCTCGCCCAAAGCTCTCCAAGTTGCTTAAAAATGGTAGAAACCAACTCTTGTTCGCGGATGAAATTTAATATTTTAAACCCTTCTGTAACAGTTGTTTTTTTCGCTTCTGCGGTCTCGCTTCCACTTCTGCGGGACCGCTTCTGCGGTCAGAAGTCCGCTTAAGCGGTTTTCATTAAAACCGCCCTTTTCGCTTATGCGACTCCAGATGCGCTTCTGCGGTTCTCTCAACAACCGTTTCTGCGGTAAAATATCCGCTTATGCGGACCCGCTGAAGCGACCATCCTTCCGCTTTTGTGGAAATTCCCTAACCCTGGCCTGACCGCTTCTGCGGTCGCTCACTCGCTTCTGCGGAACCGCTTCTGCGGTCCATTTCCGCAGAAGCGGAAATATCAGATGACAACAGCAACAGACCTGCAACACACCTCAAAACTCTCGTTCAACCACCCGAATTCACCCCCAGGCCCCCGGGACCTCAACCAAAAACACCAATACATCCTAAAACCTCATTCAAACTTGTTCTCATCCTCAAAACAAATTAAACAACGCTAAAACCATCAAATCACATTGAATTCAAGCCTAAGTTTTATTAAAAACTTCCGAATTACGCATTCGATCAAAAACCCGACCAAAACACCTCCGAATGACCTGAAATTTTGCACACATATCCAAAATCACCTAACGGAGCTACTGCAACTCTCGGAATTCCATTCTGACCCTCGGATCAAAATCTCACCTATCCATCGGAATTCGCCAAAATGCCAACTTTGCCAATTCAAGCCTAATTCTACTCCGGACCTCTAAAATCACTTCCGATCGCACTCCTAAGTCACAAATCACCTCCCGAAGCTAGCCGAATCACCGGAATTCACATCCGATCCTTCTAACTAGTAAGTCAACGTTCGGTTGACTTTTCCAAACCAAACCTTCCTTAAAGAGACTAAGTGTCTCATTTCCTATCCAAACCAATTCAATTCAACTCTAACTCACCCGTTGGTGATAATAAAACATGAAAGAGCAATAAATGGGGGAAACGAGGCTGTAATACATGAGACGACGGGTTGGGTCGTCACATCCTCCCCAACTTAAACAAACGCTCGTCCTCGAGCGGGTCGAGAAGCATACCTGAGGTCTCAAATAGGTGAGGATATCTGCTCCGCATCTCTTGCTCAGTCTTCCAAGTAGCTTCCTCTACGGGCCGACCTCTCCACTGCACCTTTACCGAAGCTATATCCTTTGATCTCAATCTCCGAACCTGATGACCCAAAATAGCCACTAGCTCCACATCATAAGTCAAGTCATCATCCAACTGAACCGTGCTGAAGTCTAACACATGGGACGGGTCCCCAACATACTTCCGGAGCATAGAAACATGAAATACCAGGTGAACTCCCGACAAGCTGGGTGGCAAAGCAAGCATGTAGGCCACCTCCCCAACTCTCCTAAGTATCTCAAAAGGACCAATGAACCGTGGACTCAACTTTCCTTTCTTTCCAAATCTCATAACGCCCTTCATAGGCGAAACCTTCAACAAGACCTTCTCGCCCACCATGTAGGATACGTCTCAAACCTTCCGGTCCGCATAACTCTTCTAACGCGACTGAGCTGTACGAAGTCTCTCCTGGATCACTTTCACCTTCTCTAAGGCATCCTGAACCAACTCTGTCCCCAATAGTCTAGCCTCGCCGGGCTCAAACCAACCAACCGGAGATCTACACCGCCTCCCATATAAGGCCTCATACGGTGCCATCTGAATGCTGGACTGATAGCTGTTGTTGTACGCGAACTCTGCAAGTGGCAAGAACTCAGCCCAAGAACCTCCAAAATCAATAACACAGGCACGCAACATGTCCTCCAATATCTGAATGGTACGCTCGGACTGCCCGTCCGTCTGGGGATGAAATGATGTGCTCAGCTCTACCTGTGTACCCAATTCTTGCTGAAAAGTCTTCCAGAAATGGGAAGTAAACTGAGTGCCCCTATCCGAGATGATAGAAACTGAGACCCCATGCAACCTAACAATCTCCCGGATGAAAATCTCTGCCAACCGCTCCGAAGAATAGGTAGTACACACCGGAATGAAGTGCGCGGACTTGGTCAGCCGATCCACAATCACCCAAATCGAATCAAACTTCTTCGAGGTACGAGGGAGACCACTCACAAAATCCATAGTAATCCTCTCCCACTTCCACTCGGGAATATCTATCCGCTGAAGTACACCACCGGGTCTCTGATGCTCATATTTGACCTGCTGACAGTTGAGACACCGAGCTACATAACTCACTATATCTTTCTTCATTCTCCTCCACCAGTAGTGCTGCCTCAAATCCTGATACATCTTCGCGGCACCCGGATGAATGGAATACCGCGAGCTGTGGGCCTCCTCTAATATCAACTCCCGAAGCCCATCCACATTGGTCACGCAAATCCGGCCCTGCATCCTCATCACGTCATCATCATCAATAGTCACATCTCTGGCGTCATCGTGCTGAACCCTGTCCTTAAGGACAAGCAAATGTGGATCATCATACTGGTGCTCTCTGATGCGGTCATATAAGGAAGACCGAGACAAGCCAACACCCGACTAGGCTCCGAAATATCTAACCTCACCATCCGATTAGCCAAAGCCTGAACATCGACTACAAAGGGCCTCTCCCCAACTGGAATGTAACCCAAGCTACCCATACTGACCGTCTTCCGGCTTAACGCATCGGCCACTACGTTGGCGTTCCCCGGATGATACAAAATGGTAATATCATAGTCCTTGAGTAACTCAAGCCACCTCCGCTGCCTCAAATTAAGATCCTTCTGTTTGAACAAATGCTGAAGGCTGCGATGATCAGTATATACCTCACAAGATACGCCATATAAGTAGTGCCTCCAAATCTTCAACGCATGAACTATAGCAGCTAACTCCAAATCATGTACGGGGTAGTTCTGCTCATGAGGCTTCAACTGACGAGAAGCATATGCAATAACTCTACCCTCCTGCATCAACACACATCCGATCCCAACTCTCGAAACAT